TAAATACTGGTGGTTTTCATCCGTGAAACTCCAGTTTTAGAATTCTCATTGTTCTTTCTGCAGACTCCAGTATCCCAGTTTGATCTTTCTTAAAAGAAAATAGTTTCTCACCTTTCAGTGCTGTATCTTTAGCCAGGTCACTGAACTGCACCCTCTCATATCTGATTGCATAAACATGACTTAAAATAGTACTGAGCTGTCATTCCACTCAAAGCAGCTTTCTCTGTCTCTAATGCCTTTGCTTCCCTAGACACTCAGTTGTAAGACCTTGGAATCATTTCTGGCTCTTACTCTTCTTCACTTCCAGGTCATGCCTGTACTTTTTTTCTGTTTTCCTTTGCCACCATCTTAGGCCTGGGCCTCATTTCTGCTAGACCTCTGCACAATCTAATGGGCTTTCTTCCTCTAGCCCCTTCCCAGTTGATTGTGTCTTATAAACTGCTTAATTGTTCAGCCCCACATTTAAGATCCTCTAAATTCTGACTATTACTCCACTCACATCTTCATCTACAATTACACAAGAGAACCACTCAAAATGGATTTTTTCATTGTTTTTGGTACATGCTGTCCATATTGCCAGTTTGTAATGACATTGCGTAATTGCTCCCACTGCCTCCCCCCCCACCTTCCTTTTGTTTTTTAAAGTTTATTTATTTTATTCATGATAGAGAGCACATGTATATGCATGCATGTATGAGAGAGAAGCACCTCAACAGGGGCTTGTTACGCTATAGTACTCTTCCTCCAGCCCGCCAGCCCATCAGGGTTTGGGGCATGAGCATGTGCGTGTTTTAGGTCAACCAGGTGGGCATTTGAACCCACAGTCAGCCATGTGACTTCTAGCACTACAGTTCAGTACTCTACCAACTGTGCCACAAAGACTGAGCCCACTTTTCTCTTAAACCTTCCTATTTGCCCCAGCGAATATTAATTAGCTATTCTTCCACTCATGACCACATGTACTACATTGTGTTATCATTTACTTTTTGTGTACCTGCCTGCATTAGAAGACTATAAACCCATCACAGGTAAGGATGAAGTCTTAAATCTCTCAGTGACCCCACTGCCTTGGTAAACAATAATAGACTAATTGTTGAGAAGATCAATTTTGAAGTGACAGAGTCTTGGGTTTGAATTCTGGTTCTGCCATTTCCTGATTATATGACCTTGACTAAGTTAGTAAATTTCCTTATGTGCAAAGTGAGTATAATTATAACCCCCTCACAGTGTTTTGTTTTGTTTTGTTTAGATTTTTGCCACAGGATTTGTGAGCTTGCCAGAGAAAGGGGAATAGGCAGAGTAAGAAATTGGGGCCAGCAGGTGGCATGAGGTTAAAGGTGCTGGATTTCCACATGCTCGACCACAGTTTGAGTCCTGGACCTAGTGGCTTACTTTCTCACTTTCCCTTTTTCTCTGTCTCTGTCTGGTCAAATTCAAAAATAATAATAACAATAATAGCAAATGGAATTAAATAAATGAATAATTCTTAAAAAAAAAAAAAAAAAAGAAAGAAATCACCCCACCCCCACGGGGATAGTCATGCCACAATCCCTTCTTCATTCTCTTCTCAGGAATTTGGGCATGTATGCACATGGGCTCAGCATGTCCTTCAAGCTTCTGTGTCCAAGATTCAAACCAAAGTCAGCTGTGTGGGATCTAGCACCACAACCTGCTGGCCCCCTGGTTTAGAAAGCATTAAATAAAACATACATGTATGTGATGTGCTTAGGAAACTCTCTGACATAATAAGTAGTAAATCGTAGAAATTATTTTATAGTAATTATGATCTTACTAACTGCTTGTTAATGTTTGTTAGTCATGAAAATGACACCCTTTAAGAATTTTGTAGTTTACCTCTCCTCATAAGTCAAATGACAACAAATATAATGATAATAATATTAGAGGTTTTTGTTATAGTTATATGTGGAACTTGAATGTGAAGTGTGTAAATTTTTAACTAGAAAAGTTTATTCTAAGAAATTGCTTTACTCACAGGAGAACTTCAAAAAGTTTGTGGAAAATGGAATTAAAATATGAGTTTATTTGGTACAATTTTTTTAAGTCCATGCAATCGTTTTTTCATAATATGCATTCAACCATGAACATATTAAGATTATTATTCATGGGACCAGCAGGTGGCATGATGGTTGGGGCACTGAACTGCCATGCGTCTGATAGCAGTTCAAGTCTAGGACCTGGCACTTGACTTTCTTTCTGTCTCTCTCTCTCCCTCTTTCTCTCTCTTTGGTGAGCATACATGCCCCATAGCAAATTTTTTAAATAATAAGAATAATAAATAAATTCAATAATAATTTTTAAAAGATGATTATTCATGATAAAGCACATATGTCTGTGTTCATGAAAGAGAAAGAAAAATAGAGAGGCATCCTCTATAGGGTTCAGTCAGGCCACAGTCCCCTTCCTCTAGTCCTTTAGCCAGCCAGGATCGTAGACACATGCACACATACCTGGTGTGTTTTCGAGCTGATGGACTCAGTGACTCAAACTGTCATCAGCAGGTGGCTTCTAGTTCCACAGTCCAATATACTATGAGCTATGACATACAAGGTGGGTCTCTGTAAGCTTTTTGAACACTCCCACCATAGTCTAACCTACTGCAAAAAGAGAACTTCAAACTTTGTCAAAATAAAACCAAAAACAAGTCTCTCTCTCTTTTTTGTATATTTTTGTATACAGATGTTGCTTCTATACTAAGAAAAACATTTTTTGCAACAAGAAACAATATCTTCTCATATAGGGAGAATAAATTCTAACTAAAAAATAATAGAAAATGCCAGATCTTAGAAAGGAAACCCTTTTTATATGCTATATCAAACACTGTGTCATTTAAATGTAAACAAATCCATTCATAGAAATTAAAGTACCTAGTAAGAAAAACAAAGCTAAAGTTACTTTTAAAACTGCAGGGTAAGTACAAAATATTTTAAAACTTTCATCTCTTTGAAAGCAGAGTATTAGGATACAAATATTATAAAAAGAAGTATTGAAAAACTCTTTCAGGGTGGTGTGGGAGGCCAGCATGTGGCATGGTGGTTAAGGAGCCAGACACCCACATAGCCAACTGATTCAAGTCCCAGACCTGGCGGCTTGAAACTCATACAAGGCACATGTGCACATGTACCCAAAAATCCTGAGAGGAGAATGGACGAGGACAAGGGATTGCTGCTTGACCATCCCCCCAAGGGACAATTTCTTGCTTTTTGTTTCACTTTCTCTCTCTGCATCTCTGGTGAGTGCGCACACCCTATAGCAAAAATCTCTAGGGGGGAAAAAAAAGAAAGAAAGAAAGTAAGAAAGAACTACTTGGGGCTGGTGACAGCCAGTGCTGTGGTAGTTAAGGTTGCTGCATCTCTCATAGCCAATTACAAGGTTCAAGTCCTGGACCCAGGGGCTTGAACTCTGAGCATGTGTGTGTGTGTGTGTGTGTGCACAAAGTCCCAGGAGCAGAATGGAGGAGAAAATATTATGGCATGGCCATGCTCCCTGGGGAGTGATTTCTCATTTTCCCTTTCTCTCTTTGTCTCTCTCCAGTGAGTGCATGCCCCTATAGCAAAACGAAAAAAATATTGGAGTCTAGATAGTGTTGTGGCTGTAAAATGTAATAGTCTATAAGGCTGACTCACATGGGAAGTTCCTGGTTCATGCACAAAGACCTCCCTGAGTACATTACATGCATACGACTATGATCGGGGTGGATCATGGCATCAAGATCCTATTGGGGGTTCTGTCTCTCTAGCTCATTTACTCACAGACTAAAAGAAAAGAGAATTAAAGAATGTCCTGATTATAAATAAGCAAAAAGGCAAACAAATTTAGCCCTAGATTAAGAAAACAGCAAACTGGGGTCAGCAGCTGGTATAGTGGTAAGGCAGTGGTCTCCCACTGATCTCCCACGGAGACCTGGAGTCTCAAAACTCATGCCAGGTATTTGTGCATGCATGCTAATAGTCTATAAGGCTGACTCACATGGGAAGTTCCTGGTTCATGCACAAAGACCTCCCTGAGTACATTACATGCATACGACTATGATCGGGGTGGATCATGGCATCAAGATCCTATTGGGGGTTCTGTCTCTCTAGCTCATTTACTCACAGACTAAAAGAAAAGAGAATTAAAGAATGTCCTGATTATAAATAAGCAAAAAGGCAAACAAATTTAGCCCTAGATTAAGAAAACAGCAAACTGGGGCCAGCAGCTGGTATAGTGGCTAAGGCAGTGGTCTCCCACTGATCTCCCACGGAGACCTGGAGTCTCAAAACTCATGCCAGGTATTTGTGCATGCATGCCCAAAATCCCCAAAGGAGAAGGAATTGAAGCATGTCCAGAACCCTGGGAGGTGATTTTTCACTTTCTCTATCTTTCCGGCAAACACATGTGCCCCATAGCATAAATCTCTCTCTAATTAATTAATTTTTTAAAAATAGCAAGCCATATTGGCGCCCAAATAATTATGCTGCAGAGAGTTCTGGGGATATTACTTCAGCAGCTATTTTCCAAAGGTGCTTGGGGCTTGCAGTACAACCAGATTTAAACAGAAGAATCGTAGGAGTTTCAGGGCTGCAGTAGCACCGTCAGTGGGAATATCTGACACAGTATATTCATTCGGCATGTAATTAGTCTGTATCATTTGCCTTTGGCTAATTTAGAATGAAAAAATATAGTCTTTTGTCACTTTTGTTCTGTCATCTTCCATTACAAAGCATGTTTATAGTCTTTTTTTTTATTATTATTTTTTTAAAGGTTTTTGCTGCAAGGCATGTGCACTTGCTGGAGAGACAGACAGAAAGCAAGAAATCACCCCAGGGGGGGGAATAATCATGCCACAATCCCTTTTCCTCTCAGGACTTTGGGCACGCATACACATGTGCCCAGCGTGAGTTTCAAGTCACGGGACTCAAGCAGTGGTCATCCATGTGGGAGTCCAGCGATGTAAGCATTACACCATCTGCTGGTCCTTATAGTCTTTTTATTTTTAATAGGGATCATATGCAATGGTCTAAAGAAGAAGAAGAAGCAGCCAGAAAAAAAGTAGAAGAAAACTCAGCTGTGCAAGTCCTTCTGGAAGAACAAGGTAACCAATTCTATGATGTAGCTTCTAGAGTTGGGCTTTTTTGTTTGTCCTTGTTCCAATTGGTAGAATCCCCCATTATTCCAGTATAGTGAGACCAACCTTAGTGAAATTAATTATAGATTCACCTTATAATCTATCTTTCAGGAGTTATATTAATGTTATTACTTCTCTGAGAGATCCACACATGGGTGGCATTAAACATGATTTTAAAATTTTCCTCTTGTTATACTGCTTTTAGTATGCTATTGTTCATTTCACTTGCTAGGAACTTTGAACTAATTCATAAACTTTGAGTAAAGAAAGTAAAGTCCCATCAAAGTTTTGCTGGTCTTTTATGAAAAACATAATGTTTTAGAAAGGATTTAAGGCATTTTTCTTGGAGGCCTTTATAGTTTAATTTAGATAAGGCCTTACCAACATTCATAAAGGGCTTTTAGAAAATTAGCCTACGCTACTATCAAACACACACACACACACACACACATACACACACACACAATGTCAAGTGTTAATAAGGGTGTGGAGAAACTGGAATCCTTGTTCACTGTTGGTAGGATTGTAAAATGGTGCAGCTGCTATAGAAAACAGCAGCAGGGAGGTTCCTCCAAAAATTGCATACCCATGTTTATTGTAGCATTATACACAATTGCTGAAACATGGAACCAACCTAAGTGTCAAAAAAATGATCACTAGGTTGAAAAGCTGTGACATGTGTACATTGTGGAATATTACGCTGCTGTAAGAAATAATGAGATCTTGGAACCACCAGACATAATGGCTATGTCGCTGAACTCCCATGTAGTGGACCACAGTTCGAGTCTCAGACCTGGTGGCTTAAACTCACGCCAGGCATGTGTGAATGTGTGCCCAAGATTCCGAGAGGAGAATGGAGGAGAAGGGATTGCAGCATGGCCATCCCCCCCAGGGGCGATTTCTCACTTTCTGTCTCTCTGTCTCTCTCCGTATTTCTGGCTAGCAGGCGCACCCTATAGCAAAAAAAAAGTCTCAAAAACAAAAAAAGTGACAAATGTTGTATGATTCCATTTAATGAGTATCTAAAGCAGTCAGATTCATAGGACACAAAGTAGAATGGTGGTTACCAAGGGCTGGAGAAAGGGGGATGGGGAAAAAGCTGTTTAATGGATATGCAATTGTGGTTTGGCAAGGTAGAAACATTCTGTTTCACAATGATGTGAACGTTACTTAACCCAACAAACTATACACTTAAAAACGGTTAAGATGGAGAGAGGCTGTCACACCAGTGATGGAGAACTGCTCCAGCAACAGTGGCAATCGTGGGGTTGGTGGTGCTGGTGCAGCTCAGCACTGGGGCATGAGGGCCATGCAGGCCTGAGGCATCTGCTCAGATTGGTGATCAGTTCAAGAATCTTGAAAGGGACACAGGCTAATCGGGGGAGTCAGTGGGACCTTTGGAAAGAGAGATCATGCTGAAGAGGAATAATACTTCTAATTGCAGACTTGCAGCTTTGAAGAAAACGCCATAAAAATGAGAGCATTCATTATAAGGAGATTGGCGTCTGCAGAAATAAATGCAGCAATACAAAGAGAGAATTAAAAAACTAAAATGTGATCGTTAATTAATCAATTAATGTAATAATGTGATAATTAATGTAATTGAATGCACAAAGTTCCCCATAGGATGGCACATACCATTGCCCACTTCTTTGTAGACATAGTTCTGGTTTATTAATATTGGTCAGTGTGCCACCAACAATGGGAAAAAAAATTGTCAGTGGGGAAAAAAAATTGGTTAAGATGATAAATTTATATTATTTGGTTTTTTTAACCACAATAATAATTTTTTTTAAAGCACATTTTTAAAAAAAGAGGAATTGGTTTATCTACTCACCACATAGCTGGGAATCCATAGATACTGCCCAACCCCTACATTCTCTAGATAGGATTTTCTTCTTTATTTTTCTAAAAATGATTTCTTCTTTTGAGTAAGTTGGTTCTTTTTTAAAACATAGTTTATTGACTTGCCAAATAGATACAGAAGTTTATACAACTCATAAATGAACTCTTAGAAAGTTCAGTGAATCGGAACCAGCAATAGGTGTAATGGCTATGTCATTGGACAAAAAAAAAAAAACCTCTCCAAAAAAAAAGTTCACTCAATGTCATAAAGTGAATATACCTATATAAACAGCACCCACATCAAGAAACAGAATGTGGGACCAGCAGTTAGTGTAATGGCTATGTCTCTGGACTCCCATGTAGTCGACCACAGTTCGAGTCCCAGACCCAGTGACTTAAAACTCACGCCTGGTGCGTGTGCATGCGCACCCAAGATCCCGAGAGTAGAATGGAGGAGAAGGGATTGCAGCATGGACATCCCCTCTGGGAGGTGATTTCTCGCTTTCTGTCTCTCTCTGTTTTTCTGGCGAGCGCACGCACCCTATAGTAAAAACCTCTCCAAAAAAAGAGAAACAGAATGTTACCAGTCTCCAGAAGTTTCTTCATGCTCCTTCCCAATTCCAATATTCTCTCCCACCTCTGAGATTCCCTCAAAGAGCAAACATTATTCTGGCTTTTAATATCACAGATTAGTTTTCCAGGACAACTTTCTTCTGGACCTTGGTCATCATCATTTCTCAGTCAGTTTTAGCAATGTTGATATGATCATTAGATGGAGAGCAAGGGTCAGCAAACTATAATCGTTGGACCTAATCCAGCTGACTGCCTGTGTTTGTAAACGAAGTTTTACTGGAACACAGACATCCTCATTCGTTAACATTATATATGTTCGCTTTTGAGTATAACTACACAGTTGAGTAGTCGCAATAGATACTATTTCGTGGTCCACAAAGACTAAAATACTACCTGAAACTTCACAAAAAAGATTTTCAACTCTGGACCACCAGGTTAAGGCAGCTGAATCCCATATGGCTGACAGCACAGTTGAAGTCCCAGACCTGGTAACTCAAAAAACACATCAGATGTGTGTATGGGTGTACCCAAATTTGCAAGAGGAAAATGGAGGAGAAGAAACTGTGGCATGACCATCTTCCCTGGGAGTGCTTTCTTACTTTTCCTTCTTTTTCTCTCTCCAGTAAGCATACATTCCCTATAGCTTTTTTTTTTTTTTTTTGGAGAGGGCATACATTCCCTATAGCATTTTTTTTTTTTTTGGAGAGGTTTTTGCTATAGGGTGCGTGCACTTGCCAGAAAGACAGAGAGAGACAAAGAGACAGAAAGCAAGAAATCACTCCCCAGGGGGATGGCCATGCCAAAATCCCTTCTCCTCCATTCTCCTCTCAGGATCCTGGGCATGCACGCATGCGCGCCTGGTGTGAGTTTAAGCCCCAGGGTCCAGGACTCAAACCACAGTCGACTACATGGGAGTTCAGCGACATAGCCATCATGCCAACTGCTGGTCCCCCCATAGCAAATTTTAAAATAATGATAATAATAAAGTTTTCAATGCCTAAGATAAAAATTTGTTTCTAGATTGGTCAGCAGTCTTGAAACTCCCACGGAAAGATGTTAACATTCCTCTGTATATATCAAGCATAGTAAAAAACAAACAAGCAAACAAAAAACACTCACTAATCCCACTGTTACTTAACCATTATTCTAGCAGTTTACATCTACAATTGAAGCTGAAGTTTGAAGCAAAGCTAATTGCGGACACTGAGTTAATAAGACAGCCATCATTAGCTACCCTTAACCAGAGAAGGGGGCCATTCTGACCTGTCTTGCCACTCCAGTATCATTGATAGCCTGGCTTATTGTCTGTTGTCATTTGCTATTCCTTAGTGCTAGTGACAGCATGTTACAGGGAGAGCCATCGCGCATTTCTGCTAGGAATCACAGACCTGCTAGTCTGCAGGGAGGGTGGACAGGAAAGAAGAATACCTGATTCACAAGTAAATCGTTCTATTTTTATGAGGCCCAACCGTGCCGTCCCAGAGTAGAATACGGCCAGCGAGTGTTGAGGTTGGATCGGAGAATGCATACCAGTCGCAGTACTGCTTACGAATCAGCCAGAATTGCATTCCTCTGCAGGAACTCTGTCACCGTTTTGGAGGAAGTCTTACTTTGCTTCTTTGCCAGCAGCTGTGCAGACATATTTTCCACATTACTCAAGCTTCTGTTAGTGGCCACCTGGATGTGACAGAGAGTCAAGTCTGAATCAAATGAAAAGTTATTAGTCATCCTAATTCATTTCCAGGAAGTTAAAAATTATTCACACTGTATTTCCTGATAATATGAAAAAATAAAAAAATTTTTGCCCTCTTTTGAATATTTGTGAACATAAATAGATGAGCAGTTGATAATGTTCCCTTAAAGTGCTCTGTGCTGGCTTTCTATTTTGTCCTATTTATGTTAACAATGAACTTGAGTGAAGCTAATGAGAAGGTTATTTTAGGGCCTTGAAAACTGCAGTAAAGGAAAATGACAGTTCCCACAGAACCATTGCATGACTGAAATAGAAAGGTGGGGACTGGCCTCGCTATAGAAACAAGAAAAGCAGTCAGGAGAGAGCTGATGGTACCACTTTGAAGGGTTTGATTTGCTTATTAGTCTGTCCAGTCTCTTTCTGAGTAAGTTTTCTGGCTGCTGTGTAGACACAGAACAAAAGATTCCATTTCAAAATGACTCAAAAAGGTAAAGGTTTCTGCTGGGCCCCCTTTGCCTTCCCTCTGTAGCACGGCTCAGTACACTGGGCTTCATGTATGTCTGGGGACCACCGCAGAGAGAGAGCACATTATGAGGGTGACTGTCTTACAGAATTTAAGCAAGGTTTCACAGAGTAGGAACTGAGATTCCCAGGAGGGTGACAAAGGAAACAAACTTTTGTTCTGAGGATCTATCCTGAGTGACAGGATATTACAAAGAGAGCCACCCATGCTTTTCTGCTAGGGATCATAGATCTTCCAGTCTTCAGAAGCCTTGGCTGAGGCTTCTAATCTGATATTTAATGTCTCCAGTGAATATAGGTCAAGGTAAATAGATCATTTAAAAGCTCTAGCCCCTAACTGCGAGAATCTGAAGGATGCCTCGACCTGGTTCTTCTGCTTGTGCCTCTCTTATCCGCCATCTTTTCTTATCTAGGAGAGTCCTAAGTCTTTGAAAGAGGCAATTTTCTCCATCACGGACAACTCCATATGCAGAGTATTTTACTGTTTAGTGATCTTATCTCACTATTTTAATGTCACTGAAAGGAAATACAGGTTGTTCTCCCATGCCGGCCAACCCTCTGGCACATTTCTCCTGGTCTGTGTGTTGGACTCTCCCGTCACACCCATTTCCCATTTCTCACCTATTGTCTCAGCTGCTGGTGAGAACCAAAGTCAGGAAACACCCTCACAATCTGAAAATAAAAATTGATGCATCACAAATAATACTTTTTTGCTACAGGATGTCATTAACATATATAGCATCCAGGCTCTTGTTAGCAATATTTCTTTCAATTAGGTTGCCCTGATTAATGATTTTTAATTTATATTTCCTTGTCATGATTTCTTTACAATTTTATTATAGCTCTTTTTTTTTTTAAGAGCAGGTTAATTCAGAGAAATGAGAAAGATATAGTGGCAGTTTTTGAGTTAACATCATTATATTTTATAATTTCCTAAAAGCATCTCCAGTGTGTTATATCTCAGCTGGTTATTTAGCAAATGTAATGGGTTTCTGAAACTTAATAACAAAAACAGCTGCTATTTTTACTTTAAAATATTATTGTAAATAACTACCTAAGGTAAATTATTTGTGCCAGGCAAAATAATAATAAGAGTTTCACTGTTGGGCCAGTCCTGTGGCCTAGTGGTTAAGGGAACCAGATCTCACAAAGGCAGCTACACGGTTCAAGTCCCTACCTGGATGAATGGAGAAACATGCTGAGCACACGTGCATGCGTGCCCCAGATCCCAACAGGATAGAGAAATGGAAGAGAGGGATTAAGGCATGACTTTTTCCCTCTTATCTTTCTTTGTCTGTCTCTCTTTTTGTCTGGCAAGTGCATGTTCCATGTTCTCTCTGGCAAGATTTAAGAAAAAAAAAAAGAGTTTCACTGTACCTTACTTTATGTACCTTACCACTTGAGAGAATGTTCTATGTGAAAAAAAACAAATGAAAGAACTAAAAGCTATGTGCTAATAAATTTAGGGTGCTTGTTTATAAGTTGACTGGTTTAAAATTTATGCTGTGCTCTCTCAGAAATATGTTGTTGTTGTTGTTGTTTTTCCTTGAGAGAGATTTTTGCTATAGGACACATGTGCTTGCCAGAGAGACAGAGAGACAGAAAGCAGAAAATCATCTCCCAGGGGAGATGGCCATGCCACAATCCTTTCTCCTCCATTCTCCTCTAAGGATCTTGGGCATGCACACATATGTGCCCAGCATGAGTTTCAAGCTGCTGAGTCCAGGATCAAATCACGGTCCATCACATGGGAGTCCAGCACCTCAACCACTATGCCACCTGGTGGCCCCCAGAAATGCACTTTTAATTTCATAACTTTAAAAGTTTATTTTTATTAGACAATGAACTTTATCAGTGACATGTGGGAATTTCCAAATTTAAGAGCTCAGGTATTTGTGTAATTGATGTGCAAAAATAACTCTAAATTGCTTTTTGTTACATGGCAACTTGAGATCAATTTTTTTTTTCTTTGTTTTAGGTTTTTGTTTTTTGTTTTTTTACCATAGGGTGCGTGCAATCACTGGAAAGAGACCAAGAGAGAAGGAAAGTGAGAAATCACCCCCCCCCCAGGGGGGATGGCCACACCTCAGTCCTTTCTCCTCCACTCACCCCTCAGGATTTGGGGCATGCATACATGCTTGGCATGTTTTTCAAGCCACTGGGTCTGGTACTCAAACTGCAGTCATCCATGTGAGATCCACTGCCTTAACACCATGCCACCTGTTGGCCTTGAAATAAATTTTTATAATTTATATTAATCATATCATATATGTCAAATACAGAAATGGTTTAATTCAGTTTCTTAGTTATGATATTGAGTGTGATTCAGAGTGAATTCTGAATTTTAGAATATGGGTAGTATACTATATTCCTTCTTTCTTTCAGCAGTATTAAATTTAATAAGTGAATAATTGAGCAGTTGTTTCATCTGGCTATGGTTAAACAGATCACTATGTTCCTTTTACTGCCACTAGCACAGAGTAATTAACTCTGAAATCAGCAACCTAGGAAAACAAAAACTATTCCTCCAAGAAAAATATATAAGTAATACATCTGTTTATAAGAGCAGTTAGACAAGGTCAAATCGGGGCAATCCCTACACTATATTCTTTTATCATTATTGACCCGAAGTTGTAGTGCATTAGCTATAGGCTGAGACTAAATTTTTCACTCGTGGTCAAGAGAAGTAACACCTCCTTTTCCCTATTATCACAGATACTCTTGCAATTCAGAAAATTAAATCATACACTGAAGATGTTTGTTGACTCTTAATCATAATTCTGATGAGTTTGATTGAGCTCTTGTGAGGTCTCAGAAGCTACCATATATTACTGGTAACTATGGAGTTGTCAATACTGACTAGAGATACACAGGGTCCTCAGAAAGTTTGTGAAAAAAAATTGAAATAAAAATAAAACTTGGGGCCAGCAGGTGGTGTGGTGGTTAAGGGCACTGGACTCTGACATGGCCAACTGTGGTTCAAGTCCCGGACCAGGTGGCTTGCTTTTTTACTTTCTTTCTCTCTCCCTCACTCTTACTCTCTCGCTCTCTTTCTCTCTTTCTCTTCCTGTTCCTCTCTGGTCAAATTAAAATAAGTAAATAAAGGTAAATAAGATAATTTTTAAAAAATAATTTTAAAAATATAAAACTTCAGGGGCTGGTAAGTGGCATAGTGGTTAAGGGCACTGGACTCCCACATGGCTGACTGTGGTCTGCGTCCCAGACCTGGTGGCTTGCTCTCTCACTTTTCCCCTCTCTTTCTCTTAATCTGTCCCTCTCCAGTCAAATATAAATAAATAAAGTTAAATAAAATAATTCTTTAAAAAATAAAACTTTAAAGACTATACTTTCAGTGATCATTTCTATAGTCTGTTACTAGAGAAGATTCTCTGATTGTGTAGAGCACTGAAAACCATGGGGAAGAGGCATAGCGTTCTCTTCTGAGCATGAAGTTGGCACTTGGTGTTGATTTTTATAATTTCATTTACTGTTGATGATCATTCTTCTCTCCCAGCAGAAGAGTAAGAGGGAGAGAATGCAGTCTGAGTAGAAAAAAGAAAGAAAGAAAATAAATAAATAAATAAATATTTATTTCTTAACATAAGGTCCATCAAGTTGAAGACGCTCTTGTGATGATACCAGCCATTTAGTCCATCCTTAAAGAATTGAGGTTCCTAGGAATTTGACCATATCAATACAGTTTATTTACATTATTATTGGAAAAAATACAGATTTCCTTTAAAGAACTTTTAAGATTAGGAAACAAAAAGAAGTCAGAAAGAGCCAAATCAAGAGCATAAGGTGGATACCAATGAGTTCCCATCAAAAGTCTCATAAATTAGCCTTGTTTGATGAGAGAAAACAGCCAGAACATTGCTATGGTGGAGAAGGACCCTCTGGTGAAGCTTTAGCAGGGTTTTGTTTTTTTGTTTGTTTTTTTGTTTTTCCAAAGTTTTAGCAAACTTTCTCAAGACACTCATAAATAAGTAAATGTTATCATTGTTTGGGCTTCTATAACGTTGCAAACAGAATGCCTTGAGGGTCTCAAAAAGCTGTTGCCATGACCTTTATTCTTGAGAAATCTGCTTCTGCTTTGACTGGACCACTTCCACTCTTGGCAGCAATTGATTTGATTGTACTTTGTTATCTGGATCCTACTGGTATACCCATGTAGCATCTCCTCTTAGAGTTTTTGAAGTATCTTGATCTCACCTGATGAAAATTTCTTCTAAAAGCTCTGCTCTTTTCTGCAGCTGATCTGGCTGGGCATAAGAGTTTGGGCACCCATTGAGCAGAAAGTTTGTTCAACTTTAATTTTTCAGTAAAAATTGTGTAAGCTGAACCAATTGAGAGGTTTATGGTGTTGGCTATTGTTACTGCTCTTAATTGTCAGTCCTCTTCAATTAGCACATGAACAAGATTAATTTTTACCTTACCAATTGATGTGGATGATCTACTATTGGCTGGCATCATCTTAAACATTCTCATTTCTTCCTAAAATGAGTTACCCATTCGTAAATGACTGATTCCTTTGGACATTGTCCTCATACATTTTTTTTAAAAAACTCATCAGTGATTTCACCATTCTTCTATCCAAACTTCACCATAAATTAGATCTTTGTTCTTGCTTCAATTTCAGCAGAATTCATGTTGCTCTGACAGGGGCTCTTTTTAAACTGATGTCTTATCCTTCATTGTACTTCAAACTAAGATCCTGTTCAAATGTAACAAATTAGCATGAGTTTATTTTGGTGCAAAATATTTTGTAATCCAGTCATACTTTTTCCTAATATATATTTTCCATATGTTTTTTTGATGACTCCTTGTACTGCTGAAGGTACAATTTTAGAAAGCCAGCAGATATATGGTGGTTAAGGCGCTGAACTCCCACATGGCTGACCACTATTGGAGTCCCAGACCCGCTGGCTTAAAAATCACTGGATACATGTGCATGTGTGGCAAAAATCCCAAGAGGAGAATGGAGGAGAAGGGATTGTGGCATATCCATCTTTTCTGAGGAATTATTTCTCACCTTCCCTTTCTCTGTCTCTCTCCCAGGAATCCATGAACCCTATGGTAAAAACTTAAAAGGAAAACAATACAAAACAAAACAAAAAAAAACCTTTCAACCCACTGGTGCCCCTTCTCTCTTTTGCTTCTATTTCCTAAACCCCTCTATCATAGAGCATTTTATGTTCTGACTGCTCATCATAATTTCTCCATATAACTTTACATGTTAGTATTTTATATTACTCAAAGAATGGAATATTTCTGATCTGTTTTAGTGAACTCCAATTGGCATTATTTTTAAAATTTACTTATACTGATTGTATATCACACTGAGGTTTTGATTTCAAGTTGGTGTCTCATAATTGAGAGGAAGATAAGAACAAGAAAAACAGATGACTTTTAGAGAGAATTTAGAGTGGGATAATATTGACTTTGAATTAAAAATTCAGTGTTGTGTAGTTAGTAAGAGCACAGGCTTTAGAGCTTGACAGAATTGGTCCCAATCCTGACTCTGCTCTTACTAGCTGAGTGACCTTGGAGAAATGTTTAAATCACCAAACACCCCCCACAGGGCTTCAATTTCTTTACCCATGAATTGGAATAACATTGTCTATATGAGATATATTAGGATTAAATGGGGGGGGGGAATCCAAGCAAAGTATTTGACTTTAATGCCTGGCACATAACAAATACCCAGTGTATATCAATAGTGTTATTGTGGGATAACAGTGTTATTGTAGACGCATGACCATTCCCCCCCACCCTGGGGGGGTAATTTCTCACTTTCTGTCTCTGTCTCTTCAGCAAGCACACATGCCCTATAGCCAAAATTTCTCTTTAAAATAAATAAATAATTAAATATTGTATAGTCTTGGCTTGAATTCTAATACTTGGTATGTTTGGTACCTGAATCAGATTGTAGTCACATTACTATAGATTCATTTTCTTTATAAACTGTAAAAATTAAAACAGTTATTCAAGTTCATGTTTAAAGCAAGATTTTGTTGTTTGTAGAACTGATAATGTTTATTATCCTCCATAAATTCACACTGCAGGCAGCCACATGGGATCCTGCTCCCAGGCATTGCACTTAACCCTGCATTTCAAGGCGAGTTCCTCTTAATATAATTATCCTTTATTTTAGAATTGTTACATGGTTACCCTGTTTTGACCTGCATGGTTTGCTTGGTCGTTCCCATGTTGTTGGACATTTGGATTATTTTCCACTTTTTCCTATCTAAATAGAATTGCTATGTACATCTTTTTATCAGGTTACTCCCCTGCTCCCCCCAACCCTACCTCAAATAAATTCCTAGGGGAATATTCTGATGAATTAATCAAGGTACTTTTTATATTTGTATTATATTCTATTTACTTGTAATTAGGCTCAACCTCACTTCACAAGTTGCCTGCTATTGGAAACCCAAATACTAGAGATTTGACTAAATGTAGGTCTGCTAGGTGGCTGTTTTATATTGGTAAGAAATCTTTTACTTCCACGCATTATTTACAAAGAGCATTTTTTTTTTTTTTTTGAGATTTTAACTTTGTTTTCTTTATTCCTAATAGAGCACATGCACAAGTGGTGAAAGTGAGCTAGGGAGATGTGCGTTGGATCTGGTCATGCCACAGTTCCCTTCCTCGGTCTTTCAGCCTTTCAGATATTGGGCACTGGTGTATGTCCTATATTACAAAGAGAATTATTAGGGTAAAGGAAGAAAAGAAAGTTCTAGAAGACCCTAGAGAAATCTGAGTTTTTTAATTTCTCCTGAGTATGATTTTCAGAATGTTGTTTTGTTTTCTTACACAGTTAATCAGGTGTACTTAGGTTTTTAAAAGTAGAACTAGAACTATTTTAAAGATAAATATACATTTTTGGGGCTGGCAGGTGGTATGGTGGTTAAGGGCACTGGACTCCCACATGGCCGACCACGGTTTGAGTCCCAGACCTGGTGGCTTGCTTTCTCACTTTCTCTCTCTCTCTCACTCTCACTCTGTCCCTCTCTTGTCAAATTAAAATAAATAAATAAATAAAATTCCTTTAAGAAAAGATAAATATACATTTTTAGGCTAACCATAAACAGGCTTCCTTCCATTAGTGCAGATGTGAGCATACTTTGGACTTAATGTCACATAGTTCTTTTGTTACAGAGATCCACTTTCATTTCTTAAACCTGAAATACAGATGGGAGATGGGAGTTTCTGTCTTTATGGCAGTCCTGCTACCAGATATAAGTCAGCCTGATGGGAAGGAAGTCTTGTGACCAGATGGGTGGAGATCCATGGTACAAAGCCATAAAGATAAAATGGAGAGTGGAAAGGAAAACTAAAAGGAACTTCAGCACAGAGCTCTATTATAAAGATAAACTTGACTACAGGCCACTGCTTATTCTGAGGGTAGGCGGTTCTTTACAATTCTGAAGGAAATGAGTCCTTTAGGTTCAGCTTTAGTTTATTTTGGAACAGATAATAAATTTACATGGATTGAAATGCAAATAAAATTACTTCTTCAAACTTGGTTCCTTGGACACCTTTTTAGTCACCTAGAAGCAAGCAGTATTGTTAGTTATTTGATTATCCTTCCAGAATAATTTTGTACATATACTAGTATATACATATATGTACATGTATACATATGTTTCTGTGTGTGCACATACATGTATTTTTCTTCTTTTAATGAATGTTTGCATAATAAAAACACTTTTCTACACTTTGATTTTTCACCTAATACTAAGATCTTAGATATTATTCTGTATCCATAGAAAGTTTTTTTCCTTCTTTGGAATGGAAATGCCATGTTGTTTACATTGGGTAGAAGTAATTACTTAATCCATGGATTAAGTCTAGGGATTCGTTCTTTTACATAATAGCACTCAAGATATGTTTGTTGAATGAATGAGGAAGGAACTGAATTATTCTATTAATATAAGGTACAGCTAAAAAGAAGCAGAAAGTAAGAATTGCCTGAAGCCCTGAGACTATTGACCTAACTGACCCTGATCCTAGGATCCAAGGATGACACAAAATGTGTACCTGTTTTAAGAAGGCATCAGGGGGCTGGCAGGTGGCGTGGTGATTCAGGTGCTGGATTCCCATATGGCCAACCATGGTTCAAGTCCTAGGCCTGGTGACTTGCTTTCTCACTTTGCCTATCTCTGTCTCTTTCTGGTCAAATTAAAAAAAATAATAGTAAATAAAAATAAAATTAAAAATTTTAAAAAAGAAAAGAAAAGAAAAAGGCATCACAAATTCTTTTAAGACTTTAGAAATCTCCAGGAGTCAGGAGATGTGGTTCTGTTCCTGTTATGACAGGCTCTCAGACCCAGAACAAGTTGGTTCAGCTCTTTTATTCAAATGCAAAAAGGGGGTCAGACTAGATTTTAATGGAATTTTCTAGCTATAAAATTATGTTGTTTATAATCCTGTAGTTCCTTGTCTGATCAGACTGGAATTTACATATTTGTCATGTTGAAACTATATTTGTAGAGACAAAACAATAAGGTGTCTTTTCTCTGCTGTAATAAGGAGCCACACAGGTTATTGGTAAAATATAAGTGTTAAGGTTTCAAGATTAGGTCCAGTCTTAGTGGCGCAAGTTGAAGGGCACTGCTGCATGGTAGCTAAGGCTGTATAGGAGGCCTGGATTCAATTCCCAGCTCAACCTAATGGACCAGGTGTGGTGGCACGCACCTATGATCCTAGCTATGTGGGAGCGTGAGGCAGGAGGGACTGCCATCTGGCAAAATCTTGTCAAGAATACCTACTCTGTCTCCTCCCATTCTCTCATTTAAAAGAAAAGAAAAGAAAAAAACCAGTGTTGGTGGCGTAGGTAGTGGTAGACTGAACTATAGTGCTGGAAGCCACATAGTGGATTGTATTTCCCACAAATTAAGTAAACCTGAAAACACTCTGAGCCCAGACATGCCCATGAACCTGACAAACTAGGGCGCCAGGGAAAGGGAATCACAGCATGACTACCTCATCAAACTTACCTCGCTTTCTTGAATAGAATAAACTTGAAAAAACAGATTCTAAGATTAAACTGTAGAAAGTAGTTTACACAAATTTATTGGCCAAACTATTAAGACATAAATAGGTTTATGAGAGTGGGACTAAGCATTCCATACATTGGGACCAGCAGGTGATGTGGTGGTTGGGGTGCCGGACTCCCACATGGCTGATCCTGGTTCAAGTACTGGACCTGGAAGTTTGCTTTCTCTCCCTTCTCTTTCTCTCTCTGTCTTTCTCTGGTGAGCCTACATTCCCTATAGCAATTTTTAAAAAATAATATAGATAAAATTAGATAAATCTTTTTTTTTTTTTTTGGAGAGATTTTTGCTATAGGGCGCGTGCGTTTGCCAGACTGACGGAGAGAGATATTAGAGACAGAAAGCGAGAAATCATCCCCCCAGGAGGGATGGTCATACCACAATCCCTTCGCCTCCATTCTCCTCTCGGGATCTTGGGCACGCACGCACACTCGCCCGGCGTGAGTTTTAAGCCACCGGGTCCAGGACGCAAACCGCGGTCGACTACATGGGAGTCCAGTGACATAGCCATTACGCTAACTGCTGGTTCCCTAGATAAATCTTTTTAAAAATAATCCCACACATTCATACTTTTTGAGAGAATTAAACTGCCATCTTTTTTTTTTTTTTTTTTTTTTTTTCTATAGGGCTTGTACGCTCTCCAGAAAGAGACAGAGAGAAAGAAAGCGAGAAATCACCCCCCAGGGGGATGGCCATGCTGCAATTCCTTCTCCTCCATTGTCCTCTCGGGATCTTGGGCACACTGGGTCTGGGACTTGAACTGCGGTTGACTACACGGGAGTCCAGGGACATAGCCATTACACCAACGTCTGATCCCATAAACTGCTATCATTTTAACCTTTTAGTAGCTAAATAAAAATTATTTTAATATTAAAGTCATTTAGTAGTCATCATAATTGTTATAAATGATAACTAACATGTAAGAAATAATATTAGAATAGTAGCTAATCATAATATAATTCATAATAAAATACATTTTATTTTCTCTTCATTTTAGTTAAGTATGAGAATGAAGCCAGTAAATACTGGGACACATTTTACAAGATTCATAAGAATAAGTTTTTTAAGGACCGTAATTGGCTGTTGAGGGAATTTCCTGAAATTCTTCCACTTGATCAAAAAACTAAAGAGAAGACTGGAGAATCATCATGGGATCATATGAAAACTAACGCTGCAAATTGCTTCTCGAGAATGTATTGCCCACCTATGACTGAAGGAGAGAATCACTGTAAGAAAAGTTCTGACTCCTCAGATGGTCAAAGCAACACAAGACCTGATTTTTCCAACCTACACTTTGAAGGACACAGAAAAGGACCTCTGAAGACTGAGTTGTTTCCTGGTAGCAATGCCATTTTCAGAATACTAGAGGTATTTTATTCAAGGGAAAAAGATGAGTAATGACAAATACTTCTTACAAGTCTCACATTGGGGCCAGCAAGTGGTGAGGTAGTTAAGGCACTCACCTGGCCAACTGCGGATCAAGTCCCAAACCTTCTGAGTTGAAGGTCCCATACATGTGCGTGTGTGCAAAATAAATAAGTAAATAAATAAATAAACTAGGAGAATGGAGGAGAAGGGATTGTGGAGTGGCAATCGGCCCAGGGGGTGATTTGTCACATTATCTTTCACTCTTTCTCTGTGATGAGTGCACATGCCCTGGGGCAAGAACCTTAAAAAAAAAAAGCCATACTGTTTCATTAAAGGTCCATGTTTTTTAGATGGAAAATTATCAGATCTAACTAAATAAATCTTTGGTATGTTTTTATGAATAAGTAATATTTCAGGGACTCATATCTTTAATCATTCAAGTTATAGTGCAGATTTAAATTTCATTTTCATTGCTTTTTTTCTTTTGAGAGGTTTTTGCTATAGGGCGTGTACACTCTCCAGAGAGACAGAGAGAGACAGAAAGCGAGAAATCACCTCCTGTGGGGGATGGCCACGCCGCAATCCCTTCTCCTCCATTCTCCTCTCAGGATCTTGGGCACGCACACAGAC